CTATCACCATCACCACCACCACTATCACCATCACCACTACCACCACCACCACCACTACCACCATCACCACCACTACCACCATCACCACCATCACCCCCACCACCCCCACCACCACCACCATAACCACCACCACTACCACGATCACCACCACCACAACCGCCACCACTAGCACCACCACCACCATCACTACCACCATCACCACCACCACTAGCACCACTACCGCCATCATCACCACCACCACCACCATTAGCACCACTACCACCATCATCACCACCACCACCACCATTAGCACCACTACCACCATCATCACCACCACCACCACCATTAGCACCACTACCACATCATCACCACCACCACCACCACTACCACCATCATCACCACCACCACCACTAGCACCACTACCACCATCATCACCACCACCACTATCACCACTATCACCATCACAACCACCATCACCACCACCATCACCACCACCACCATCGTCACCACCACCACCATCGTCACCACCACCACCACGACTACCAGCATCACCACCATCACCACCACCATCACCACCACCGCCATCATCACCACCACCACCACCACCACCATCACCACCACCACCACCACCACCACCACCACCACCACCACCACCACCACCCCACCACCACCACCACCACCACACCACCACCACCACCACCACCACCACCACCACCACCACCACCACCACCACGATCACCACCACCACCACCACCACCACCACCACCACCACCACCACCATCACCACCACCACCACCACCACCACCACCACCACCACCACCACCACCACGATCACCACCACCACCACCACCACCACCACCACCACCACCACCACCACCACGATCACCACCACCACCACCACAACCACCACCACCACCACAGAGTTGCATGTGAACTAAACTGAGGTAAAATCATAACTGACCTCAGAGTTCACAGCTGCTAGACAACTGCATTAGGCAAAATGTGCTTAATGATAATTAAACTAATACTTATTTGTGTGTAAATGAGCTTATCGTGTATAATTACGGTTACTTGTAAATTCTAAAATATGTGTAATATGAGAAATTTACATGGTTAGAAATATCTAGTTTTTATATAAATGTAAATGTAAATGGTGGTGGTGTTGGAGGTGGTAGTGGTGGGGGTGATTGTGGAGGTAGTGGTGATGGTGTGGTGGTTGTGGTAGAGGAACTAGTGATGATGGTAGTGACTGTGGTAGTAATGGTGATGGTTATGGTTGTGGTAGTAGTATGGATGGTTGTGGTAGTAGTTGTGATGGTTGTGACAGCATGGATGGCTGTGGTAGTGGCTGTGGTACTGTGGTCAACACTGACGACTCTGCGGTACAGTGGTCAACACTGACAACTCTGTGGAACACTGGTCAACACTGACAACTGTGGCAAAGTGGTCAACAGTGACAACTCTGTGGAACACTGGTCAACACTGACAACTGTGGCAAAGTGGTCAACAGTGACAACTCTGTGGTGCAATGGTTAACAGAGACAAATCTGTGGTACAGTGGTCAACACTGACGACTATGTAGTACAGTGGTGAACACTGGCGACTCTTTGGTACAGTGGTCAACATTGACGATTCTGTGGTACAAGGGTCAACACTGACGATTCTGTGGTACAGTGGTCAACACTGACGACTCTGTGTTACAGTGGTCAACACTGGTGACTCTGTGGTATAGTGGTCAACACTGACGACTCTGTGGTACAGTGGTCAACACTGACGACTCTGTGGTACAGTGGTCAACACTGACGACTTTTTTGGTAGAGTGGTACAGTGGTCAACACTGACGACTCTGTGGTGCAATGGTTAACACAGACAAATCTGGTGGTATGGATGGTTGTGGTAGTAGCGGTGATGGTTGTGGTGGAGGTAGTTGCGAGTGCATCACTCTGTGCGTGCACCACACAAACACATTCTACCTTCCCTCCATAACCAACCATGAGCCAGGGAGCTTAATGCCTTATAGTGCCGTGCCAGGGAGCTTAATGCCTTATAGTGCCGTGCCAGGGCGCCTATACCGAGGATAACCACCATTTATAAACATCAACCAATCAGAGTGAGGGATTGAAATCCACACTACTTGACTTTATATCTACACACAGCTATGGGGTCAGTCTCTCACTAGCCTCTAGCTGATTTACAAATACTGGATTGTGACTATGAATATACGAACCACTAGGAATGACCTTATTCACTGTTGCTCTCTCAATCTCTCTCGCTTTCTCTCGCTCTCTTATTACGTTACATACAAGTAAGGTATCTACAATGATTTTCTTCTGTTGTACCCAACAAGATCTTCAATATTGTACGTACTGGTGGTGGGAATATACAAATACTCAAAAGCTGCGTTTGGTTTCTGCATTTGCTTAAAAAATTGCTTGATTGAGCATTAATTGGTAATCATCTTCCATGTAGGTGCCACTGGCCTTTTAATTGTACTTGTGTTGTTATTGGTGGTGGTGATGGAGGGGCGGGGTTATAGTTATAGTGACGGAGGTGGTGGTTATGGTAGATGTGGTGATGGAGGTTGTGTGGTGGTGGTGTTATGGAGGTAAGGTGATGGATGAGGATGCAACGTGAAGGAAGCTGAAGCAATGTTTCTATGGTTGCACGTGTTATGTCTGGTTGCTATGGTAGCAGCTTCTCTCTCCTCTCACACCTCCACTAGTCTCTCTTCTCACAACCACCACCACCACTACCACCACCAATACCACCACCACTACCACCACCACTACCACTACCACCACCACTACCACCACCACCACCACCACCACCACCACCACCACCACCACCACCACTACCACCACCACTACCACCACTACCACCACCACTACCACCACTACCACCACCGCTACCACCACCACTACCACCACCACTACCACCAACACTACCACTACCACTACCACCACCACTACCACCACCACTACCACCACCACTACCACCACCACTACCACCAACACTACCACCACCACTACCACTACCACCACCACCACCACTACCAATATAGAGATTGAACCATCTGAGACGTGCATATTAATTCTCGTCAGAAGTGCGACATTTGGATCCAAGATGCTTCTGTTTTGGTCGTCGTAATTCACCAAAATTACTGTTGTTTCAAGCACGAAACACGCAATACACGACCATTTAAACCACATTCTACGACAAAACTACGTCTTACAGCTATTACGAAGAAAATATTGACAAATGGAAGACCTTAAAGTGCGGTAATCATACATTCCATTAAGAATTAAAGATAATTAACTTTGATCCAGAGAACTGAGAAAATAATCCCTCTCATACGAACGAAATAAGCAAATTTCCTCACCACGAAGATATTACAAAGATAATATTGAAATACTTGTCAGTTTTACTTACCTGTTAGACCTAAAAACAAGAATAACCATTGAACTAGAGAATCAACACTGTATGAATGTATAAATAATTATTAATAATTAAAAAAAAAACAGGTTTGGATGATGGTAGAGAGAACAGACTGCAGAATATTGAGGTTAATAATTTGTAATGTGAAAAATCTTGTCGGAATAATTGGATCTTAATATTTATTACAAATTTTAATTCTATTATAAAAATTTTAATCTCTCTCTCTCTCTCTCTCTCTCTCTCTCTCTCTCTCTCTCTCCTCTCTTCTCTCTCTCTCTCTCTCTCTCTCTCTCTCTCTCTCTCTCTCACACACACACACACATACATACACACATGATAACGACATACAAAATACTGCGAGGAATAGATAAGGTGAACAGAGACAGGATGTTCCAGAGATGGAACACAGAAAGGGCCAGGAGCTGAGTATTGACCCTGTACCCACAGTTAGGTGAGTACAATTAGGTAACTACGTACACACACACACACACACACACACACACACACACACACACACACACACACACACACACACACACACACACATACACATACATACACATACACACACACAAATTGAAATCAGAGAAAATTCTTGTACCTGATAAGGTGAAGAAGAATTAAAAGAATAATTCCATAGATAATGAAAAGATGGAGGAGTTGAAGAAGAGAAGAATGTTGATGGCCACTGAAAGACCTGAAATCAGGCGGATTCAGACACAATGCTGAAGACAACTTGGATATATAGTTAAGTTCTCTCTGAAGAGGCAGAGAAAATGGTAAAGAATACTGATAGCGGAGAACAGGAGAAAAAAGGCACTTGAAAGGGGGGTGGGAAGAGGTAGTAATGATTGATAAAGGAGGAAAGAAGACAGGAGAAGGAGAAATAAGAGGAAGTGTTAGTCTTCGAAGGACTGATTACATCGTTTTGCACATGTATTTTACTTATTAACTGTATCAATTCTCACATCACACTGAGAAATGTCCGAAACATCTCAACAAAGTGCCATAAACTGTATATTGTCTCGTTAACATACTGTGGGGCATTGGCTTGGGCCGGTTGGGTATTTGGACCTGCCTCGCATGGGCCAATAGGCCTCCTGCAGTGTTTCTTCTCTCCCATGTTCTTATGATGCTCCGTTGTCTTCACGAGAGCGATGGGAGGAGACTGGAAGACAGGTGAAGACAGATGAGAACTAACGTTGAACTATGAGGGAGACCAAGTACGCCAGAAGGTTGTGGCAAAGATTTTCAGATCTGGAAGGACCTCAAGGGGCGGCGCCCCCTCTTCAAACTGACCTTGTGGAAGCAGTTGCAATTTACATGCACTTACACAAGCTCACACGTACATAAACTTATATGTACGTACATTCGTTATCATGTACACCACTCCTTTCACCCTTACACACATCCACCTCATACGTATACATCCATCCATACGCAGAGGCATTCAACCAAGTGAGCACACATCCACCCATACGTACATACACACACACACACACACAGGAGCTATGACTCGACCCCAGCAACCACACCTAGGTGAGTACACCAACACAGGCGTACCAAGATGAACCAGTACACAGTACCTTGCAGACGACGGGTGGGGTGAGGTACTTCTCTGGTGGGGGCGGCACGGGTGGCGGGGGCGGGGCGGGGCACAGTCGCATGAGGGAGGGGAAGCCGCTGGGCGGCAGGGTGGTGGGCGGGGCGGGCGCAGAACTGCTGTGGGCGGGACGGGGGAAAAGCCAGTGTTAATAAATGTGTAAATTTAGGTGTAAACGTGTGTTAATCCATGTGACAGTAAGTGCAAAAATCTGTGACTACATGTGTAAATTTATGTGATTATGTGTAAACTCATGTGACTGTGAATCAATGTGATTGTGTACATCAACGTGACTGTGTAAATCAATGTGACTGTAAATCAGTGTGACTGTAAATCAGTGTGACTAAATCAATGTGACTGTGAATCAATGTGATTGTGTACATCAACGTGACTGTGTAAATCAATGTGACTGTAAATCAATGTGATTGTGTAAATCAAGATGAGTGTGTAAATCAATACGATGACTGTCAATCCATATAAATATATTTGATATATGAGTGTCATGTAACAATGCAAAGTGGAGGGTAACCAGGTTTGATCCAAGTAAGTGGAGGGTAGCTTCAGTTTCTCGGATCAGATCATCTCCGCCCTTCAAAGATGCATCAGGTGACTGTGTCTCTGAGACTGACCTGAAGGGGGTGGAGGTGGCTGAATGCGGTGTGGTGGCGTGGGAGAAGGGCGTGGGCGGAGCGCTGATGGGCGTGGTGGTGAAGGGCGTAGAGGCGTTGGTGTTGAAGGGCGGGGGAGGGGTGGAGAGGATGGGCACAGCATACTCTCCACCCACAACACCGCTGCTGGCGGCACTCTGGCGGGCGGGAGTGGCGGTGCCGCCCTTGCTGTAGTCGCTCAGGTGGCGGCCGATGGTAGCCACGCTGTACTCGGAGGCGCTGAAGAGCGGGGTCTTGTAGGGCTCGTGGTAGAGGGAACCCTCTTCGTCAGGCACCGCTACGGGGCCGTACATGGCGGCTCCCGCACCAGAAAAACTCGAGACCATTCGTAGCGACTTCATGTCTAGCGCCACGCTGGTCGTGTCGGAGAGAGGACTCTTCAGAACGTGAGGGGAGGATTTCTTTTTGCGCAGGCGACGAACGTAGATGAGCAGGCCGGCGGCCACTAGCAAGAACACGCCTACAACGAATCCGATCACCACACCCATGTAGGCGCGGGTGTGGGCGTGCACGGCGGATACGGCAGACACGTCGCGTGAGTCATCTCGTCGGACTGCTGTGTGCTCCGCCGGCGTGGACGCCTCTCCGTCAGCCCAGTCCGTTAGGTTGCACACGCACGGCTCTACGGGATAAAAAAACATACAACGTTGTCAAACACATACACACACCTATATGTAATATATATATATATATATATATATATATATATATAATATATATATATATAATATATATATATAATATATATATATATATTGTTTGTGTATCTTTATACGTATATGCTTCTAAGCTGTTGTATTCTGAACACCTCTGCAAAAGCAGTGATAATGTGTGAGTGTGGTGAAAGTGTTGAATGATGATGAAAGTATTTTCTTTTTGGGGATTTTCTTTCTTTTTTGGGTCACCCTGCCTCGTGGGAGACGGCCGACTTGTTGAAAAGAAAATATATATATATATATATATATATATATATATATATATATATATATATATATATATATATATATATTATATATATATATATATATATATATATATATAAACTAGAAAACGGCTGGAGTAACCAGGATGATAATTGAATTAAACAGTAAAATCACAATGAGAGGCTATCGTAATGGTCAGACATACAGAAGAGGTCGGTCCTTGGATTATCACTGCTCTACACTTATGTGAATGACTTACGTATTGCGATAAACCCCTTCATATCTTTTTGTGGATAACGCAAACTAATGAGACTAGAAACAGAAAAGAATTGTAAAATGCTGGATGAAGAATTTAATAAGCTCGACGAAAGGTCCAACAAGTGGCTACTGGAATTTAGCCCTAGAAAATGCAAGGTTATGAAACTGGATTAGGCAGGTGGATATTACACACGAGGTCTCGTCTGAGGCACATGCACACGAGAACACTAGCAACATATACAAGGATAGTATACATAATTATAAGAATAGTCTTCATTAATCGGAACAAGATGGTAATCAGTTTACTGCAGGACACGACCTATGCAAGACCAGTGCTTGAGTTTGCAGCACCAGCACAGAACCCTTATCTCATCACAATAAAAGAAACTTGGGAAAGTTCAGAGGTGATTCTATAATTTTGGTTCTAGAACTATAAGGGTTTGACTAAGAAGATAAGTAAAGAGAGTTAAGTCTTACAGATCAATTCCACACCAGCGTGGCTAGTGTGGAATTCATCTATAAAATCCTTCATTTGTGGTTACAGTGGTGGCCCATGCTAACCTCCCTATAGAAATATAATTATTGGATGAATTTTATTAGAGCCAACTGGCCTGGGAGTTTTAGAACTCAAATGTTATGGGTTCAAGTCTCATCCGTTCCATGATGTGGACTACTACGTAATTGTCCTCTTGGCGGCTAAAGAAAGATATACCCAGTGATTTGCTAATTATCAATAATATTGTGGAAGAAATCACAGTAAAACGCTTAACTGCCAATATATAAATAGTTACAACAGTGAGAAAAATAATCAGGAAACCTGAGCGCCAGCATGCGCTTAACACTTTACCTGCGAGTAACAACTTTCTCTACGTTCACTCTAGCTTTGTGTTTATATTGTACAAACCTTTCATTTGTTCATAATTTCTACCTTACCATTTTTTTTAACCAAACATTTCGCCATTTATTCCTCTTCTCCTCAGCACTGACTCTAGCATGGCCATAAACATCATTCTCACCAAGCTTCAAGACTTCACTAACCGCTCTCTCACTTTAGCCCAACTTTCTTTCAATGGGTGTACATACATCCCCTTATTTAGCTCATTCACTTTCGTTTTTCTCTTGCCCACTGATACTATTCTACTTGTATTCAGTGTTTATCTACCTCTAACTCTTGCTACAGATATTACTAACCAATGATCTGACATATCGGTACCTTAACTCACGAGATCGTAATGACACAATCGCAAACAAACCATACCACGGGTTTTGAGACTCTCTGACCGCGTGTTCAAACCACACCCGTGGTGTGGTTTATCGGTACCTTGTTGAAAAACATTCTTATTCAAAAGGTTATTTATTAACCATACATTAACCAATACACAGTCTAGCAAACTACTGTTATTGTAAACGTCACTACACCTCGTATACTTGGAAACAAACACATATGCAGTTTAATGCGATCCTTTATTGACAACGTTTCGCCCACACAGTGGGCTTTTTCAAGTCACAAACTGATCTGTTTGTGACTTGAAAAAGCCCACTGTGTGGGCGAAACGTTGTCAATAAAGGATCACATTAAACTGCATATGTGTTTGTTTCCATTGTGTCGGTATTTTATACTATTTATTTTCACCTCGTATACTTGTTTACTTTCTTATTCTTAAAATAAATATTACCTTTTACCAAACCTCTTTTTATAGAAAATGAAATTGGAGGCCCCAAATTATCACTTTCCCCGGGCACTCCAAACTTGCCTTTTAAATCATCTACAAGTCTCTCCTTTAGCATTTAGATCTCCCCAAAAAAATTCCCTCTCACTTGGTTCCAGTTCACCAAAATCTCGAATAAAACTATTACTACTATTGCTACTTCTATTACTATAACTACTACTACTACTACTACTATTACTACTACTACTACTACTACTACCAATAATAATATTAAAAGGTTTTCCGTCCTGCTGAAGGGTGTCATCGTGTACAGTAACCAAACACTAGAGGCAAAAATGGTAACATTTTCATACGAATATTTGGTAGGGAGATAAAACAGTGGGCCAGGAGCAAGACGGTTCCTCGGGGAGATGTAAACTTGTGAGGTAATATCTCTTACCTTTAACTCAAGTGTACATCTGCTATCATGTTTACACGTGCGCATGTACACGGAAGGCAGGGCAAGTGGACAGGGAGGCTTTATGGGTGGTTACTGTACACACACACACACACACACACACACACACACACACACACACACATACAGCTAATGAAAAAGATAGAGTGTGTAGTTGAAAAGTGCCTGGAGACAGGAGAAATTCATACCCAGAAGCAGATGGAACAGAGGCATGAAAAGCAGTAGCAAAAAACGCAACAGCACGAAAGAAATAAAGAAAGCTAATAATGCTAGAGAACCGGGAAGGAAGCAGAAGAGCCAATAACGAATACCTATGCGGAGGAAGAAAATATGAGGAACTATTTGGGAATGACATAGCATAAAATGCAAAACCTGAGCCGAAGTTGATGTACAGCCACATCAGAAAAAGACAGCTGTAATAAGGCTGAAAAAAGAAGTAGGGGAGCTCTCTACGAATAACTATGACGTATGTGAGGAGTTGAACAAACGATTGAAGGAGATATTCTTAGTGGAACCAGGAACAATGGCAGAGTCTCCAACGAGTACTGGATACATCCCGAACAAGAGAGGGAGATGTGAAAAAACTATCGAGTGATCTAGATACATCAAAGGCAAAGGGACCAATCAACATCTCGCCATGAGTTGTGTTAGGGAGCAGAGGAATTGTGTGAACTGCTAACGGTGAGCTTCAGCAAGTTGCTTAAGACAAGACACATGCTAGAGGTCTGATAAACAGCGAAACCATTATTAATATTAAAAAAAAAAAAGACGGACAGGCAGCACTGGACTACAGGTCAGTGTCACTAACATGCACATTATGTAAGCTAATGGAAAAGATTATCAGGAAAACAGTAGTGGAACACCTGGAAAAGAGCGGAATCATAAACAACAACGGGCCGGGAGAGTACCGGCGAATAAAAAAAAAAAAAAAAAAAAAAAAAAAAAACCAGGAAGGTTTTCGAGAAGTTAAATCCTGTCTCACAAACCTGCTAGAGATTTATGACAAGGTAACGAAAGTAGGAAAGGGATGAGTGAATTGTATATTTCTGAACTGCAAGAACTAGGACAACAGCTAAGAGGGCGTGCAGGAATTACAGGGAAAACAGGGAGCTGTTAGGGAGGTGTTAGAATGGGCGTGTTCCATGACATTCCACGAGGGTCAGTAAATGCGGGTTATTGGTGAATTGTTCCAGCGACGATATTGTGTCTTTACTTTCTTTACAAGAGTCAGTACTTAAGCCACTGCTGTTTCCTGCGCATTTCGACATAAGCAGGGCCAGTATGGAACCCGCATGTGATAAAGAGTGCAAAGCTGGGTAATGTGCAAAGGTTAGCAACGAAAAAACTTTGAGGCGATGGATATGGCTTTGAGGAAAGGCTAGAGGAGCTAAAACTAGCGACATTAGAAAGCAGAAAGAACAGAGGTGACATGATTATAACGTACAAAATACTAAGAGGACCTGAACAAGGAGAGTCTGAGAGGAGGGTCTCGGGTACACTAGGTCACAACTGGAAGTTAAAAGCATAGTGGTTAGGAAGTGAAACGACCTAGGAAGCGAAGCAGTAGAGGCAGAATCTATACATAGATTTAAGAATAAGTATGATATGGCTCAGACAGCCAGGAGTGAGCAGCCAGCAGAAAGGCGGGGCCAGGGGCTGAGACTCTACCTCTGCAATCACATTTAGGTGAGTACATATACGTACTGTACATACATATATACGTACATACATAAAATGTCGAAATTATCTTTCCTGTTCAATGGCTATCAATTAGTTTAATGTTTATTTCATACCTTTAAGTTGTGGGATAAACCCGAACTTTAGTAAAATAAGCTAATACACACGAATACAAGTTAAATGGAGCAACAAACAATAAGAAACTACCACCCTGTCTAGACAGCCAATCAGGTGGAAATAAGCTTGCAGTCATAATAATATTTAAATGCCTTTAACTCCCCACTATCTAGTGGGAATTTAATTCTATATATTTTATTAGATATATAAATCAAGAGAATCACATAACAGAGAAAAGAGGAATGTGAGTGTGAGGATATTGGAGTAGCTGGCTAGACGCTGTAGCGTTGACAGTGTGAGTGTGAGAATAGTGGAGTAGCTGGCTAGACGCTACAGCGTTGACAGTGTGAGTGTGAGGATAGTGGAGTAGTTGGCTAGACGCTACAATGTTGACAGTGTGAGTGTGAGGTTAGTGGAGTAGCTGGCTAGACGCTACAGTGGAGTAGCTGGCTAGACGCTACAGTGTTGACAGTGTGAGTGTGAGGTTAGTGGAGTAGCTGGCTAGACGCTACAGTGTTGACAGTGTGAGTGTGAGGTTAGTGGAGTAGCTGGCTAGACGCTACAGTGGAGTAGCTGGCTAGACGCTACAGTGTTGATATCAGGGGAGGAGTAAACAACCAGACTATCATAAAACAGTGTGTTATGTGGACTCAGACTTCATCATCCAATATCCAGCTTACTATTCGGATTCCAGTCATTTAGAGCAGTGGTCTTCAACCTTGCTGCACAAGTCTGCAACATATAATGATCAAATCTGTGATAAGGGCCGCACGTTTTGTCAACATAGTGCAGTGTGGCACCTACATAAAAGTGAATTTATAATTTCATGTGAGGGCCGCATCTTTTCCTAGAAGGACCACATGCGGCCCACGGGCCCACAGTTTGGGGACCCTTGATCTAGAGGAATGAGTACTGCATGAGATGGGTTATAATGTGTGACAACCCCGATTAATGACTAAGAAGGCACTTTCCATCCAGCTACGGAACACTGAAGACTGCAATGGTGATAACTTCCTATCGTGGTAAGTGTTCCTTTTACATATATTAGACAATACGTGGTCAGTAATAGGTACCTGCTAGCAAATGGTGTGGGTTATGATGCACAACTGTAACTAACTTCACAGATGTAAATATGAAAACCACCTAGTTTAATTATTTTATATTAGGCATTTGAATATTATACATCTGTTTACCCCTCCCTCCCTCCCTTTTTTTTTGAGCAATTGTAAAGCGAGTCAACAGGATACGGTAAAGTTCTATTGATTGTTAAGTACCCAATGTGCGTGTAATTTCAGGTCCAGGGAACCTTGTATCTAATAGTGTTGATAGATAGACTTAATAAAATCAAGGTATGTCACATGGCTGCATAATGTCGGAAATATACTGCGCATATAATTGATCTATCATAATCGGACCGGAAAAAAAAATAGTGGACTTTCAAAGACTTGTTAAAGTATAGATTTCAATCCTTAAAAATGTGATCATTGGATGAGGAAAAAATCCAAGACAGACCTGGGTAAAAAATTTATTTGTGAATATACCTTCAACCTTTTCTTTAATAGACTTTTATCATTCCATAAAGCAACTTAGCGGAAGGCAACAATGGCAAACTATAAAAATAGCTTTACAATATGTATGGAAAAGAGCTATATAAAGAAAAACTATATATGTAAGCCCAAAACTGAAGTTTGTAGCAGCTGTGTTGGGCTGACAACTTGGGCTTATCCGGGGGGGGGGAACATGGACCTGCTCCGAATGGGTCAGTAGGCCTGTTTCAGTGTTCCTTCTTTCTTGTGTTCTTATATGAATATTTTAGAGATGGTATGAAGGCAACCTTTAGAATGGGCATGACTGCCGGAGTTGGAAAACAGTTGAAGTATTTTGTAAGATTATTAACACTTAAGACGCCCACGAGGGAGAATAAGAGGAAAGGATAAATAATAACCTACTGTTACCACTTTCTGGCTCGTATAACTTAAAATGTTCTGGTTCCTAAAGGCTATTCAACCTGCTGTCTAGGGCTATTTAAATTACATTGAAAAAGCAACCACTCTAGGGCCAGCATGTACATTTATATAAATTATGAAACATAAATTTAAATAGTCAATATTATGAGGAAGGACACAAAAACTCACTTATACAAAAATATATATTAATAGTAACGTTTATACAACCTACAATCCACTCTTACTTCATCACCTTTACTCCAGTTCACATTAGCACACTGATACTAGTGAGTAAAACATATATAAACATTTATAAACAGGGAGACTCCATGACACAACCCCCCCCCCCCTGTCCCCTACTACCTTCTGCTGGTCAGTCTACCAGCGGGCAAAAAACACCATACAAGTTCTCTCCCAAAACTTAAACAGATCTCTGCACACTAGGGCCTTAAACAGGAGAACAAACCACCTTCTCACACCATTACATCTTGCTCCTTCTGCTGGGCTTTACTCCTCTCTCCTGGCTACTCTACCTGACCAGGAATAATACGCGTCCGGTTTCAGTACAATCCCGGAACTATGGAGCATTTTTTTACATAATATTTTTAATATATTACACCGTAATACCCACCCAATATAATTTTATAAAAGAACACGAAATAATTGACAAGGAAAATGTCTGTTTTGCCTCAGGAACAATAAGAAGCCACAGTTTGTAAACGAGAAAAAATTGGAGCCGAAAGAATAATAAAAAACTAAAGAGTGACTGATCAACAGGATGATTTAAAGAGGAAGTAACGAGTACCTAAACCATTGGATATGTTAAAAATAATATTTAAGACGGGACACTTCGAGCAAAGTTTTTCTTCTGTAGCCATGAATGGGCATTTCCCCCTCAAGGTAGGTTCCTTGATGCCTGCGAGAAGGCTCTTGATTTAAGGAATTGGTTGGTACCTGTTTCCCTCCCCCTCCTTCCCCCTTTCTTCCTCGGTGACACTCTAAAACTAGATTCGTCTCTTACAAAAAAAAAAAAAAAAAAAAAATTGTAAGGGAATGCTAAAACTAATAAAGGCTTATTTACAGTCAATCTGTACCACGGTTGTGCCTTGGGTATGCAGAAATATCAGGATATTAAACCCACTGAAGTATCCTAGCCAGTTTCTTAAACTATAAATAATTAACCATTGTTAGGAACCTAATTCTTCCTCTCTACTCGATGCAATATTGAGCGTCAATGACAATGAAGACCTAATGTGCTGCTGTTGCTATCGATGTTGCTGTTTCTTTGCTATTGCTGCTGCTTCGACTGCTTCTGCTATTACCACTGCTAGTTCTGGTACTTTTACTCCCTCCACTATTACTGCTGCGATCGATACTTGACCTGCACACACACACACACACACACACACACACCCAAAACACACACACACACACACACACACACACACACACACACACACACACACACACACACACACACACACACACATACACACACACACACATACACATACACATACACACACACACACTCACACACTCACACTTACTCTCACACACTCACTTACCCTGCTATCCTCATATAAACAAGTACATATCTGTATACTTCCTGCCTGTGTCATTCAGCAAGTACAGATAGGTAATTAGACATAGTCACTCACGACTGTCGAAGTAGATTTCGCTGAGAGCCAACCAGGGGCCGGGGAAGTCCAGCAGGATGTTGAGGACTTTACCGATGCGGTGACGGAGGTCAAGGGTGATGTTGTGACTGCCGGAGGTGAGCGAACCTGGCCAGCCGGAGACGGGAGACCTCACGGGCTTCTCGTGGAAGTGTGTTCCCTCCTCACCGAAGTAAACCTCGGCCTTCGATGGCAGCTGGGGAGGGAGAGAGAAAGAGAAATTAATACATTTCACGAAGTGAACCTCGTTGGGTTCTACTAATAGCGGACTTGTTGCTGAACAGTCAGGTTTGAAAGTGTTCAGTGGAGGGACAATAGGAAAGGTAAGCATTCTGGATTACCAAAGTAGTTTTATATCGTTTAATTGTACCGTGAATCAACTTTCAGAAGAGACTTCTATTTAATAGAAAATATTTCAAGAATTTGAAACGCACAGAAGAGTACATATAAGTTTACATAGAATGTGTGTGTGTGTGTGTGTGTGTGAGAGAGAGAGTGAGAGATTGTTGTTCATGTTCATAAAACAGACAAGATCAGCATCCCTACCAAGAGTTGAAAAGACTTCCGTTTTACAACATATTGTCCTTCCTAAAGTCGAATGTCGCCGTGAGTTGTGATGGAGGCTCGGTCCTCCGTCATGCGGCGTCTGGTCTCTGCCAACTTAAGCGCTGCATGAAATGACTGATAAATGTGACGCTAAAGACACAAGTCGCAATACAAGCCTTTATTAGGACAATATTTCACTCTATGCTGACGAAGACCTCAGTTGGAAGTCGAAATATGTAGAAAATTGATTTTACTAGTCTCATTACGGTCTTGCATACATTAGCCTGGTAGACAACAGAAGGTATTTTAGTCTTGTTATTAGTGAAAAACGTGTGTTAAAAGTTGTGCTCTTTGAGAGGATTCCTGGTCTTTCCTTTCTGTCATGAATAAGAAACAGTTCGGAAAGAGATAAGACGAGAAATTCTGAAAAGCAAATGGAACTGACATTTAAGAATAAACGTAGCAAGACGCTTTCTAAAAACTTGATGTTAGAGAAAAGGAGATAATTGGTTAAGAAACAGTTAATATAAGATGGAACTGAGGCAGAAAACAATTCTTGAGAGCAGGAAGATGATCTGTTGTAATGAGAGGAGTGAGAGAAGAATATGAAGCGAGTGAAGCAGAGAATGAGGCTGAGTGCCAACAGGGGTGAGTTGTGCTTAGTGAAATTATTAATGCAACTAGAAGTAATGCATGGAAAGTTGATGTGTTAAATGTATGATAGAAGGTGAGATTCCCAAGGTATAACAGAGATAAATAGAGACTGTGTATAAGGGAACAGTGGCAAGAGTAACAGTATTATTTGTAGCATAAGAACATAAGAAAGAAGGAACACTGCAACAGGCCTACTGACCCATGCGGAGCAGGTCCATGTCCCCCCCCCCGGATTGGCCCAATGACCCCCCCCCGGATTAGCCCAATGACCCACCCAGTCTGGTTACCTCTACTCAAGGAAGGAGCACGGCACCAGACCCAGCAGCACAAGCTAGTCAGGTCTAACTCACACCCACCCACACCCACTCATGTATTTATCTAACCTATTTTTAAAACTACACAACGTTTTAGCCTCAATAACTGTACTCGGGAGTTTGTTCCGCTCATCCACAACTCTATTACCAAACCAGTACTTTCCTATATCCTTCCTGAATCTGAATTTTTCCAACTTAAAACCATTGCTGCGAGTCCTGTCTAGGCTAGATATTTTCAGCACACTATTTACATCCCCTTTATTTATTCCTGTCTTCCATTTATACACCTCAATCATATCCCCCCTAATTCTACGTCTTTCTAGAGAGTGCAGATTCAGGGCCCTTAGTCTATCCTCATAGGGAAGGTTTCTGATACATTGGATCAACTTTGTCATCCTCCTTTGTACATTTTCCAGAGAATTTATATCTATTCTGTAATACGGTGACCAAAACTGTGCAGCATAATCTAAATGAGGCCTAACCAAGGATGTATAGAGTTGAAGAACAACCTGAGGACTCCTATTATTTATGGTTCTTGATATGAAGCCAAGGATTCTATTAGCTTTATTGCGAACACTTATGCACTGTTGTCTTGGTTTCAGATTACTGCTAACCAGAACTCCTAAATCTTTTTCGCAATCCGTAATATTAAGATCTACATTATTTAGTTTATATGTGGCATGGTTATTGTCCTCTCCAACATTTAGAACTTTGCATTTGTCTATATTAAACTGCATCTGCCACTTCTCCGACCACTGCATCAGTCTATTCAAATCTTCCTGGAGTGCTCGAATGTCCTCGTCAGAATGAATTCGACGGCCTATTTTGGTGTCATCGGCAAACTTGCCGATGTCGCTCTTTATGCCCTCATCTATGTCGTTTATGTAGATTGTGAACAGCAGGGGGCCCAACACTGACCCCTGTGGAACACCGCTCGTGACGCTTCCCCACTCTGATTTCTCCCCATTTATGCAAACTCTCTGCTGCCTATTTGTCAACCATGCCTCTATCCAGGAAAAATATCTCTCCTCCTATTCCATGTGCTTTAATTTTCCTCAATAGTCTCTGATGTGGGACCCTGTCAAAAGCCTTACTGAAGTCCATATACACAATATCATATTCATTACCATGATCTACCTCCTCAAATACCTTAGTGAAAAAAATTAATAAATTCGTAAGGCAGGAACGCCCCTTTGTAAAACCATGCTGAGATTCGTTGATTAATTTATGCTTTTCATGGTGGCTACGAACTGCCTCGGCAATTATTGATTCCATAAATTTTCCCACTATGGAGGTTAGGCTTATTGGTCTATAGTTCGAAGCTAAGGACCTGTCACCTGTTTTGAAAATAGGTATCACATTTGCCATTTTCCACTTATCTGGCACCATGCCAGTTTGTAGTGATATGTTGAAAAGATTAGCCAAAGGTTTGCTAAGCTCCTCTTTACATTCCTTTAGAACCCTTGCATACAGTTCATCAGGGCCTGGGGATTTGTTAGGTTTTAATTTATCTATTTGCCTAAGGACCATGTCACTTGTGACCCTAATAGTGCACAGTTTATTATCGTCCTGTTCTACATAATTTATCATTACTGGAATATCGCTGCATATGTGTTTATAATTCCATTGTGTCGGTATTTTATACCATTTATTTCCTCCGAGGTAAGACTTATTGGTCTATAGTTCGAAGCTAAAGACCTGTCACCTGCCTTGTAAATAGGTATTACATTTGCCATTTTCCACTTATCAGGCACTATGCCAGTTAGTAGTGATATGTTAAGATTAGCCAAAGGTATGCTAAGTTCCTCTTTACATTCCTTTAACACCCTTACAAACAATTCATCAGGACCTGGGGATTTGTTAGGTTTTAGTTTCATTATTTGTCTGAGGACCATGTCACTAGTTACCGCAATCGTGCATAGTTTATTATCATCCTTTTCTACATAATCTATTATTTCAGGAATATCGCTAGTATTTTCCTGGATGAAAACTGAGAGGAAGTAGGTATTGAGAATTTCACACACATCCTTATTACTGTCAGTGATCTGACCAGAGTTACTCTTAAGTGGGCCAATCTTGTCCCTAATCTTACTTCTGTATACCTGAAAGAACCCTTTTGGGTTAGTCTTTGAATCCCTTGCGACCTTAGCCTCATAATCCCTTTTTGCTTTTCTTATTCCTTTCTTTATTTCTCTTTAATTGAGTATATTAATTTCTTAACTGCCCATCCCCTCTTTTGATACGCCTATATATGCCTCTCTTTTGGCCAATGAGATGTTTTAATCTAGCAGTTATACAACGCTTGGGAAATGGAGGGAATTATGTTTGATCCCAAAACAGGGAGAATTAATGAATAAGACACATGTTCACCTGGATATTTTTATTAGGAAGACGCTTCGCCAGACTCTTAACCTTGATCTGTCTAAAGCAGGGACAGGAACCTAAAGAGAGGTGCAGCAGTTTAAGGCATACTCAAAAGCGAGCGGGTCCTTCAGTGGAAGTTAGTAATGTCCATGAACTGGGCAGTGGCAAGAAAGCTTTAGAACATATCCTCTGTACCAGTATTCCATGGTGTTGCTATGCCAGTTATTACATTAACAGAATATACAACAGGCATGTTGAACATCTGGGTATGTTTGTGAAGAAGCTTTAGGATACGGAGAGTATCGTCTACAACCCTATTGATAACCTTTGGTACAACTTACAATAGTGCGCAGATTAATTGGACCAGGAGTAAATTTTGTAATTATTTCACAAGACTTAGTCTCTGGCTTAATGTAGTTTACGCTCTTTTCATAAAAGTTTGCTATTGACTTCTGGCAATCATCCAGCTGTGATGTTACCCTGCATCTCTCGTCAGTGCTACACCAGCTGTTGTTCTGCAAAGCTGTTCCTGCAAGCATGCTCCGTGGATGGATGTGGTTTTGCTAAATTCTCCCTTTCAGTTCATGATTACTACTGAAATTCATGATGAATGTTACACCTAGGAAACTTGCAAGTATTGTAGCTCTTAGAAAACTTACTGATTTGAGTATCAGACAGATTGCCGAAAATTTGAGCCTACCAAATTCAACTGTTGGTTCGATTCTGAAGAGAGTTGACACAAGTGACTGTGAAGTGCTGCATCGAGGAAGATGTGGTAGAAAACGCAAGACAAATACCTCACGATGACAAGGCTATCATAAGAAATAGTGTGAAGGATCCCAAGAAAACCAGCAAAGATCTAGAAAGATTTGGCTTCAGCTAGCGTAAATATTGATTAAACTGTTCAACGAAGGCTTCTTGGTTGGCAGAACTGCCAGAAAGCCGGTAAAGAAGCAGTTATTGACTGCTGCGGTTGCCACTCTATCATAAGTGGTGGAACAACAGATGAATGGGTACAAATTGTTGGTAGACGGAACAAAGGCGAGCCTCGTCGGAATGAACACATTCAACAAGCGCCATAATACCCACCTAAGATGTTTTTGGGGTAGTTTTACTACTAAAGGCCCTAGACGGCTTGTTATTGTTAAGTGAACGATGAACAGCGACAAAGACAAGGCAATCCTGGCAACTCATTTGCTTCCCATTGTGGATAGAGACGTTTCCTGGTGGAGTTTATCTACCTGGAGGGTGTTCCGGGGATCAACGCCCCCGCGGCCCGGTCCACGACCAGGCCTCCCGGTGGATCAGGGCCTGATCA